TTCAGCTTGATATACATACGGTACATCAATCTAATGTAGTGTGTTGTTTCATTCTTTCTAATTAAATATGACGTCAAACCCAATTAGTATGGGAATCATCAAGCATGTATTATTGACTTATGACCATTCATCTGCAAGTATAACATTGAAGATGGCATCTCAATGAACAGACCCCATACAAAGGATAAAAATCATGTGAATAGGTTGTATAGCAAAAGCAAGAAATACAGTATGAATTACACAACCATAAAACTGATTGACCTGAAAATAATATTGAAGAGGGACGATTCAAAACTTTAAGTGTCTGAGCATACTATTGAGAAGAAACTTTGTAAATAGATAATAAACATGCAGCCAAGATGTGTGCCATTTGTTGTTTAACTTCAACAATTTATAACATTCAGTGTATTTTTAAACTTCACAGCAATCCACATTATTTTAATTTTTATTTATGTATAGTTTATAATTTAGTGTATATAGATTTAAAAAAAAAAAAGGTCTCTTTGCGCCTGATTTGATTAGGGTGCACAACAGATTTGCTCGTCTGCTCATTTGACTTTATCTATACAGGGAATGTGTGACTTCTTATAAATTGATAGTTATTGCAGAGATCGTACTCATATACTTATATACAAACAAGGAAAATAGCACCAAAACATCAACTACTAAGTTGCACTTCATTACACATATCAAAAGGAAGAAATCATAAACACATCTTAAAAGACTAGCCTATTAGATGAAAAAATTTCCCACACTTATAAACCTCATTCAACTTATAAAATTTCTCAATATGAAACTCATGACAATGCCACCTCGTTTGAGAGCCGACGACTTCACTTCACAATACTTTACTTAGCCTCCTGTTGGTCAAAACACTATGTAGGTAGCCCTTTCTATAAGGTCGCTCTCCCAATAAAAGCACTATTTGTCAAGAGCATAAATCTAAAGGGAGAGCCCATTTCAAAAGATTACACTATTGAGTGGGGGAGCCCTTCACATTTATAAGCCTCACTCAACTTATGACCGAAGACAGAAGACAAGGAGCATTAGACTAAGGCACAATGCATACCAAACGTACAATGTACATACTAGATATTTCTCTTTCTTTCAAGGTTTATCCATACATAATACTGAATTACCACTAAGCAGATTATAATAAAGTATAAGGCTGTGAATGAAAAGAATCGATCTTCAGATTCAATGTGAATTAATCAACCCCCCTTTATCATGTACTGTCATGCCAGGAACACTGCCATATACCAGAACATAGATATAACAAGAATAACTGGCATTTCTTATAGAGATTGAGTTAAACAACAACGATAGGTGCTTGACAAGATGCAGCCCAAGCTGATTAGAAATAAACACAACTTTCACTTGATTAACTTCAAAATTTTTATCAGATGTTATGACACTTACCTAAAGTATCAGGACTGTACCAACAGAATGTTTTCAGTAAATGACTTCAATGGATAATAGAGGAAAAGCTTACATTGATCATATGTTTGAAAAACTTGCCTTCAGAGTATAGTTGAATTACTACCTAGCCATGAAATTCTTCCATCCTAAACTTGAGATCATGACAAGTAGTTATTCTGGCTGATGGAAAACTAAACATTCTCTATGGGAAAACTTGATGACATGTATTTACCAAAATTTCAACATATATTCCTCTGCAACGTCAGAAGGTCCCAATTCATGAATGTAAACAGGAACTGAGATCCTCTGGGCCATGGTAGGACAAGAACCAATGTTTCAACAAAATTCATAGTGGGAGTCAAAGAAGAGAGGTTTAAGTCATTCGGGGACAAATTTACAGACAAGAGAGAAACTTAACAAGTCATACCAGTCATGAAACATAAACGACATACTCATTTTTCAGACTCTCACATTATTTAATTCAGAGAAGAATTAAGAAGCCCTGGGCAAAATATGTTTTAATGCTAATTGTACAAGTACCACTTCTTCCAACCAGACAGAGTAGACGCAGTTTCTTAGGTGCCAGCATGAGAAATAATACTTTCAATTTGGACCATGTTAATTTCTCTCTCAATCATGAGATATTCATTCTCCTTTTCTCTCAGACAATTAGGGTAAGAAATCATATGGGCGAAATTAAGAGGAACGTTTCTATGGCAGACGGTTTATCAGCTTCTTTCTCATAACGTAAGCACCCTTTCCTGGATATTCAGAGGACTAAAGTGCCAATGATTAAGCTTAAAATTCAGTTAAGGTATATGCTTCCTCTTCAATTTTGATCATCAACTCCTAAAAAATTCAATGTTTTCATGAGCAGAGTTATCAGCAATCCACACGTTCTTTAGGAGAAAGAAAGAAATTTTATTTAAATCATACAGAAACGCCTTGAAGGTTTATTTTACAGAGAGAGCGTGTTGAAGCCTCTGACAATCGAGCAAATAAGCAAACCCATAAGCCATGTTCTTCAAAGTGGCCTCGTGGAGTTCCGAATTCGATGTCGCCGTGGCATCCGCAGAGAAGAAAACCCTAAACCCTCTCACGAAAGCCTCGCGCGCCGTCGTCTCGCAGCACAGGTTCGTCATCACCCCCGTCACAATCACTTCCTTTACCCCCATCTCCTCAAGCTTCTCCTCCAAATGAGTGTTCCTAAACGCGCTGTAAGTGTTCTTCTCCACCACCATGTCCGCCGGCTTCCGATCGAGTGTCGGTATAAGCTCCGCCTCCGGTGTGCCGTCAAAGACGAGGTCGTCGTTCCACCACTCACCGAGCATGCCGTAGTCGGCGGGGGATTTGTGGCAGTGGCGCGTGAAGATGACGGGGATGGAGGCGTTCCGGCAGAGACGGATTGTGGTGGAGAGATTGGAGAGGATGGGTTTGGCTATGGAAGAGAAGTAGTTTTGCATGTCAATGACCAAAAGAGCACATGATTTAGGATCTGGGTTCCTCTTCCTTATCTCATATTTATTGTATGGAGATGATTTGTTCAGAGAAGACGCCATTGATGAAAGCTCCCTCTGGTTCTAGTTCTGGTTCAGTGTTCTCTCTCCTCTTCCCTCAGCTGCTCCTTTGGAATTCAAAGGAGTTTTGATCACATTAAATCAACAAATTTAATCCAACAGACTACAGTCAAACAAATAACATGCTTCCTCTGTCAAAAATATATATATATATATATATATATATAATTTTTAATTAAATGTTATCTTTTTAATAAAATAATTATTTTTTTTAAATTAATTTTATTTTTTATATTTATTTCTATCAAATATTCTATAATAAATACATAGTCATTGATTAATAGAAGTACTTTTAAAAAAAAATAATAATTATATCTCGAAAGATTAAAAATATTTTACATTTTTGAACATACAACTCCTAAAAAAATACCTTATATTTTTAAACGGAGAGAGTAACTTTTAGGAGGATGACACTTAGGTGGCAAAGATGATTTTATTTAAAAGAAAGGATAAATGTACAAATTAACTACTTACTATTTTTTTTAGGAGTTTGTGGTATAGTTAAACTATGATGTGGTATAAAATAAATCCTTAATTTTAAAAAACGCAACATCAAGTAACTTATCATTAATTTCACCTAACGAACGTTATGTGAGACCCACAAATGACATGTGACGGTGCAAATTTAATCATATGCTATTTTTCGATCTACATTAGGTAGCCTCTACTATAACAAATAAACCATCCAATATCTTTTCATTAATTTTGATCAAATATCATTTATTTCTAAATTTATGAGACCTACAATGTGTCGATCTTTTCAATTTTCTGCCTTTTTTCTTAGTCTTTGCTTGAAAAGAAGAGATTCAAAGAATTTTCATTTAAAGACATTAACAAGGAAGACATCAACAAAATAGAAGCAATAATTTATGGCTAAATTAAGCTAGAATCAACCTTTTTCTATACGTAGTAAAATTAAGCTTTTATTTCATTAACATCGTTTTTATGAATGTTTTTAGATATGAACTCTTTGAACATCTTTTTTTTAAGTTGAAAATGAAGATTAGAAAGATTGAAAATGAAAGCAAAAAGATTAGAGAGATTGACACCTTATGGGTTTTATAAGTATGAAAATAAATAATGTTTGGTCAAAATTATCAAAAAAATGTTGGATGGTTCACTTTTATTATAGCAAAGGTTGCCCAATATTTCTTAAAAAATAGTTTGAGATTATATTTACATCTTTACACATGCAGACATGGAGTGTTAGTAAAATGTCACATGTCATTTGCGGCCCCACATAATGTCCATCGATTGAACTTAATTGTGGGTTGCTGGATGTTCTATTTTTAAAAGTTGATGATTTATTTTATACAACCCGATATTTTAAACGACCAAATAATTTTTAAAAAATAGTTCATAATTAAATTTGCTACTTTAACCCAAAATAAATCCCAATAAATTTTAAAATATAAAATAAATTTTTAAGTTTTTAATTGATATTTTTATATAATGTAATTTATTTTAAATTTTAAAATTAAAAAAATAAATTACAAGTTAAAAAAATAAATTGTAAGTTTAAGAGGTAATGTCACACATTTTTAATGCATCCAATTAATGACATGTTATTTTTCATATTTAATTATTAAATTTGTGTTTCCTAAAATGGGAAAGCGTGCTACAAATTAAAGATTATGAAATTGTAAACTTGAGAAATAAAATTATAAATTAATTAAAACACAAAGCTTGATGATTAAATAAATTAAATTTGCAATTTTGTTTGCCTTCAATTTGCAGCTCACTTTTTCATTTTAACAGGATATAAATTTTAATAATTAAACATATCATTATTTAATATTTTCAAGAACTTGTAAATTTATCTCCTAAATTTATATTTTTGGCTTAGTAAATTTATAACTCATTTTTAATTTTAAAATAAAAACATATAATATTATATGAAAATATCATTTAAACATAAAAAAAAATTTACTTTACATTTTAAAATTTATATAAAAATTCTACCCTAAGGTTCTAATTTCAATTTTCAAGGTCACTGCTTTCCTAATTTTTGTTTTCTTTACACCCACAGGCCTCAAGCCGCGCTCTTCTCGTCGCGCTCTCGCAGAAGGGAGAGAAATATCCCCGAGGTCCTATTCTCTCTCTCGTGTAAAGTATCTCCTTTTAATCTACATATCTCCTTCTGGTTTCGGTTCTGCAGTTATCGCCGCTGAATCTCGTTCTTTGTTTCTCTTTGTCAATCTACGTCGAAGATTTTATCTTCAAGTGAAAGGTCCTGAATCCTGAGGTATGCAGCAATATGGTCAAACGGTGATAAACTTGAGGCCTGGTGGTGGTCGAGGAAGAGGCGGTGGCGGCGGAAGCAGGCTATTCGGTCCTCGATAGGTTCGGATCTCATACCAACTTCATTGAATTTGATGCTCAAGTTGGTTTCTTTCCATTTTCTTTAATACTAATTTTTTTAGTTATTATGAGAACAAAATCATCTGCTGAAGTAAATTAAAACTTGTATGCATTGCTATTGTGCAATATATATAGTGAAGGTGACTAGCTTTAATACTATAATGATATGAAATTTAAATTAAATGATTTATTTGGAAGTTCCTCCCTCATTCGAATGTGAAAACCTAAAGAAAATCGCTCGAACAAAATAAGAAATAGAACTATAGTCAGTTAATTGAGAAAGATATTCCTGACAATTCCTGTGTTTTTTAATTGTTATATTGTAGCATAATTATAACTAATATAAGACATGTAAAATGAAGAATTAACTCAGTTGAATGTCCTAATTCTTGGTGGGGCATTGAGTACAAAAAGTTACACGTGAACTTTACGTGGGCTTGATTAAGTCATAGATTGCCCATAAAGGACTCACATACATTAAAACTCCTTTTATTTTTGCTAATGCCATTGGAGTTGACTTATAGTATTCATTTAACTAAAATCAATTTTTTCCCCGGTTAGTATCTTGTTGTATTCCTTCATGAGTTTATCTGATTTTATGGTGAAAATTCAACTGGCCAGTCGTGGAGGGAGGGGAGACCAACAAGGGCTGTGAACCCCCAATTTTTTAAATTTTTTTGGTATTATATAAATGTTACATACTTTCGACCCCCCAAAAATTTATGAAAATTTTGTAGTATATATGTTTTTTAATCTTGGCTCCCATTATTCTTAAATCCTAGCTCCACCCTTGCAACTGGTAATTATACTTAGAGACTTATATTCTTGTTCTTCTGCTTTTGTAGGCTGGTGAGTTTACCAGAGATCAACTGTGACAGCATAAAGAGGTAACTGCTATGTATCCTTGATCAATTATCCTTTTCTTTGTTATTTAGGAATATCTGATCAGCATTCTTTCCTTGTTGCATATATAGTTTTATCATTTGTGTGCGCTCCTGGGTTTAAATTCTGTTTTATGCCATTTAAATGGCAGCTGTAAGGAATTTGTTTCTGAATCTGATTCATCAGAAAGCTATCTGTGATATTCTTGAAGCTCCTGAATAGTTGATCTGTATATTCTAATGTTCATTCCTCCCCTCTGGTTGGTTGCTGCTAGAACAGCATAATGTTGCTTTGGATACTTTAATAGAAATTCTGATTAGTAACACTGATATCGGGTTAAGTACCTTATTTTCTCGCCTTTCCTAAAGAATTGTAGCTTAAAATTGAGTCTTTAAAACTAAACTCATTTTAGGTTAATTATCTTTACTCAAATAATTATATGATAATTTTCATTTATCATGAAATAATTTTTTCGTAATATTACTTAAATTATGGGAATAAAATTGAGTTGTTACACCAGGAACAACCTATTTTAAAATAAATAAATTGTTATTTATGTCTTTAATATCAATGGACAAAACAAATTTTAAAATAGAATAAATTATTATTTAGATTTTAATTTAAATAGATAACAAATTATGAGTATACTAAAATAAATTATTTTTTTAAATTTTTACAATTTTATTTTATATTTACCTTTCAAATGTTAAAAAGTGTTCACAAGTTACATGTATAATATGTCCCAAACATAATTCTTTAACACTTATGTACAAGAAAAAAATAAATTTGACCCCTCTCGGTTCTTATTATTGAGCACTTTTAGAAGAATTAAAAATAAATTTGACCCCCCTCGGTTCTTTTTATTGAGAACTTTTAGAAGAATTTTTTAAGTCTTAATACAAGATACGTGGAGAATTATTTGTTACAATTTTTCAATTTCATAACTATTGTAAATTTAATTTTATGGCTTATATTTCTCTCTCTATATTTTTAAAGGCAAAGTTAAAAAAATTATTTAAAAATGTATATAATGAGTTAATTGTTATTCATAGATTCTAGTAAAAGTAGTTCTTGTACCAGGTACAGCGCAGTTCAGGATCTCGAACGGGGACAAATCTAGTGTAGATTTTATATTATGTATAAGAATTTTAATTCTTTCAACTTGATTGTTGAGAATATGATATTTTGGTACTGAATATAAGTAAAGAGAAAGCAATGTGGACTACAGAAGAAACTAAACTCTTTATCAAGTTAGCTCTACAATAAGTTAGAAAAAATGAGCGTAAAGGGTCTACTCTATTAAAGAAGGGTTGGTAGGTGCTAATGCAACGTTTCAATGCATTAAGCTCAAGAAGTTATGATAAAAAGCAATTGAAAAACAAGTGAAATAATTTGAGGAAAGATTGGAATTTATGGGACAAATTGTTGAACAAAAAGACTGGCTTGGGATGGGATAGGAAAAAGAATATTGTATTAGCACCAGAAGAGTGGTAGGATCATAAGATTAAGGCATACAATTTTAAATGCAATGTTCTGTGTTTGATGTTTTATGCCAATAACAGACCTACTAAGTTGTTATAAATGTGCAGGGGAATCCGGACTGCAAAAAGTTCAAACAAAAACCACTTTCATATGTGTATGAATTGATAGAGTTATTCCTGCTTGTTACAATGCGGGGCACATACATGTGGACACCTACAGTTGATGATCATGAGGATGTATATAGGCCAAAAATGGATTTAACTGAAGGATTTGGAGATAGTGATGATTTAAGGGATACAAGTGGTGGAGCTATTCCTGAAATTGGACAAATCAACTTGAATAATATCAGTGTACAAAATGGTGGTGCCAGTTATGGGAGTAAGCGAAAGAGAGGTAAAAATAGTCAGAACAAAAAGAAACAACGTCCTACGTATGTCATGGCTGATGTAGTGAATCATTTGGTTACTACACAAGACGATAGGATTACGGCAATGAAATCAATTCTTGATTCAATGGAGAGTGCAACAAGACCAGTTGATCAAACTATTTTGGATGTTGCAATGGAACTTTGCCAAATCGAGGAGATTGCAAGTGATGAGGTGCTTCTTGGAAAGTGTGCTGTGGCCTTGCTAGATAAGACTGCAAGGGAGATGTTTGTTGGGCTTAGGGGAAATAGAAAAGCATTAGTATCCTATTTAAAGTGTTTGGCTAAGAAAGCAGCATAGATCAATTTTTGCTTGCCTTATCCATGTTTTAAAACTTGCTAGTATTGTTTATGTTATTAACTTAACTTTGTTTTCAAATTAATTGTGTTGTTAAACTCTTGTTTTATGTGTTTTTATTTTAAGTTATTAATTAGTGTAATAGTTGTTAAATTATGTACGCAGTTTTTGTGTATGATAATAGACAGTCTTGCTTATTACAATTACTTTTACAAGAAGATGAGGTTGAAGTTGTCACTGTAATAGTAGCTAATTATTCAACATTATATTTATTTAAAGGACTTTGTAGGACTTGCGTGCAATCCAATCATGCATAAGTGCAATATGGAAAGGCATCCTTAGTGTTGTTATAACATGTTTTACATGGAAAAGGATATTTTTTTTTTCCAACTTTGTGATAAATTGGTGCAACGTAGTTACAACCAACTAGAAGAACATGGGTTTATGAAATTGTCAGTATGTTTTTAAATATTGTTGGACCATGAGGTGGGCAATAGAATGGTACGAAAATGGTGTCAACATTTAGTAGAGATTGGTCATATGCATTCTAAAAACGCATTGCGTGCTCATAAGAAGTTGACAAAGGAATATGTCAAGCCAAAAGATCTCACATTTCAAGATACATATCCAAAAATTTTAGACAATCCACAATATTGGCCATCCTCCAATGATTTTAGAGGAGCAATTGATAGAATATATATTCCATGTCCAGTAAGTGTTGAAGAGCAGGGAAAATATATTAGAAAAAAATGTATTCTGATACAAAATATAATGGACATATTTGATTGGGATATGTGTTTCATATATGGCATGGTTGGATGGAAAGGAATTGCTCATAATGTTCATATATTTGATAATGCACTCACAAGGTAGGACATGAATTTTTCACATCCACCTAAGGTATATTTCATATTTAACTAATTTAAAATAATTTGTTTTAATATTTAATTAATTCTTATAATTTTTATTTTTTATTAGTAGGTAAATATTATTTGGTAGATACTGATTATCCAATGCCATATGGATATTTAAATCCTTATAGATCCCATTGGTATGACCTCCTAGATCTTAGACATTTATTTGTATTTGCAAATAATAATGAGGTTTTTAATAATTATCATTCAAGTTTAAAGACCATGATTAAAAGGACTTGTGGGATTTAGAAAAACAGAGTCACAATCTTATGACACATGTCTAGTTATCTATTTGTGATACAAGTTTATATAGTTGGTGCGACAATGGTTATACATAATTTTATTAGAACCAAATTTACAACTCATTCTGACTTTAGATGTTTTGACGATAAAAATATGGTTAACTCTCATGATGATATTAACGAGTATGTATTTTTATCATCAATCTCAAGTGCAATTTCAAGTTTGGCTTCTAATGGAGAGATGAATAGGGTTGTGATTTTATTAGACATCAAATTGTATATTATAGATTGAACTGTTAATCATAAGATTATTTAATATTAATGAATGTTGAACTATTTATTACATAATTTTTTCTCAATATTAAACTTTATAGTTTTATTCGTATTATTTAACATATTAAATTTTATGTTATTTTAAATTTTTTCACATTTTTTAAACATTTCTAATATATTATATTTGTATAATAAAAATTATAAATTACCATAAATCAATGTCCTTTTTAGTCATTGTATATTTAAAACCACATTTCAAAAGCATAAATCATCATTAATCCAAACAATTTTTAATTTATTAAATTGATTTTTTAAAAAAATATATTCAAATATAAATTTCATTATAACAATTAATTTTTATTAAACTAATTTTCGTCAAATGAAATTTTAACAAATATATTTTTGACAAACTAAAACCCAAAATACAATCTCTCAACTCACTCAAGCCGATGCCCAAATCATTGTCAATGGCTTCAAAGAAGCTATTTGAAATGGACTCAGAGTGTAGACCATTTTGTTTTACTCTCTAATATATACTCCATTGAGAGAAATTTTTTGGGCTGCTTCAGTATGAGATGTTGTAAAGGAAAGAAAACTGGCAAAAACACCAGGGTGTACTCTAATTGAGGTTAATGGGACCCCACATGTCTTTGCATCAAGTGATAGGTCCCATTCTCATGCAACAGCCATCTATGCAATGCTCAAGAAGTTAAATGGAAAGAGGAGGGAGCATTAATATTATTCAGAGACTATCACTTTTTTGCATGATGTGGAAGAGGAAGAAAAGGAATTCATGGTGAATGTTCACAGTAAGAAGTTAGCCATTGCTTTTGGTCTTATTACAGTTGAGCCAAATGCTGAAATCAGGATCATTCAGAATCTTCGAGTTTGTTTCGATTGTCATACTGCAATCAAATTTATATCAAAGATCACAGAGAGAGTTATTATAGCAAGGGATGCTAACAGACTCCATCATTTTAAAGATGGAGTCTGATCTTGCAGGGACTACTGGTGAAGCAGAATAATTGTTCACTTCTTAAGCTCTACAAGATGAGAGTGGCATCTAATAACCTTTTGGGTTCATATTCTTGTATTTCAACAATGTGGTCTTGATTTACACCATTAAAAGAAAAAGAATTATCTTGAACCTCTTCCTGACTCCTGAGCTTTGGGTTGTTGATAAAGTTAGTTAACAAGTTCAACATTTGCTTACTGTCTTTCACATAAAGATATGCAAATTGATTTTCATGAAACCAAGTGTGCTCCTGCATGTTTTCAAACACATGATTGCATTTCATTTTTCTTTCTACATCTAGATGTTCTGCCCTTGAAAATGCACCAGTGGTACAATTTATGCCATTTATTTATTAAATTTTTTGTAGTACAGTTTTTAACTGACATTTTTATTATTTATTTTTTGCACAAAAAATGAGAAAGTTACCATGTCACACCTTCTATCCAGTTATTTGGCACACAACATACTTTACTTTTAGTTTTTCATTTCTAGGTACACTGCCTAGTATTTTCTCTAGGGTCTAGTTAATTGATTAAGCGTTGAAGTATTATTGAATATATATGCCATCAAACATATCAAAAGTACAACTTCCTCCCTTATATTCACAAAATCCAATGTGCTGGTCTTTGCTTTCTCCCTTCATTAAAAGGAAAAAGAGGGGGAAAAAACAGAGAGAAGGGAAATAAAATGAAGTACTTGTTGCAATGCTTCACAAAATTTTGCTCTTACTTTATTCATTTGGAGCAGCTAAGGCTTTGTTGAATCTTGTTTTCGAATTGTAAAAATAAATAGGACATGCAATTTCAGGAGATGTAATTAGTGAAGGAAGGCCAACTAATTCCACACTGCTTAATATCAGGCCCCCCCCCCCCCCCCTTTTTTTTCCTTTCAACACAAAAGGATCAATTCTTACCCAACGCAAGGAGAAAATAGAAGCCAAAAGCACTGACCATATGTTAACAAAGGTTGATGTTCGGTTCTGTTTAGCCATCAAACCTTTAAGGAAAGGGTAAAGATGGACAAGAAACCAGAATGAGAAGAGTTTCCCTAGTAATGCTCCCTAAGAATGTCTGTCTCTGTTTATGGAATCTGTAAATCTAGCTACAATACCAACAAGGTTAATGATTATGATAGTGGTTGGAGGTATTAGCAATGTTGTCCATCTGAAGGTGTACAGATCATAGAATTCCCATCATCTGGTACTTTCGACACCACGCTGAAGTTAATATCAACTTCAGACACAGACACAACGTTCAGAAAGTTTCTCACAATTGCAAAGAGATGTGTTGAGTGAGAAGCTACCAATAACCCAGAATTGTTCATTTTTCCACCATTCCTCTAGATTAAAACTGGACTCCATCTCAACTCAAGTATGCTTGATGCAAAGATTGAGATGAACAATGCAATAAAGATAAGACTTGCGAAGGTGCTTATCTGGACAACGACTAATTGAGAATAGTTAGGGCAGACTAAGAAAAGAAATGTTTAGTATGGTGACAAAATGGAAGAAACTGAACCAAAAAGCTTAGGTTTTGTTTCTAGTTCATAACGTATAGACTACAGGGAATGCATAGTGTTTTGTTTATTAATTTTAAATCGGCGATGTTTGGCTCGCTATTTTAGAGAGCATTATATTCTTGTAATCCTCTTTGTTCGTTACAATGTAGCAGAATTTTTTTAATTCTGAAAGGTCCACGATTATCCAATGGTCTAACTGTCCTTTTTTTCTTCCCTGTTTTTGCTTGAAAGGGAAAATGATTATTACCGATGGTGTGATGAACTTGTCTGTGAGCAGGCAAACGGCAGGCAATATATTAGAAGAGGTATTGAGCTGAAAGGGAGACTGTGCTATTGATATAGGCAACTTTTTGAAGCCCCTAAGGTTTTCCTTCTCCTAATGTGTACCATATGGGGGAGTGGCGGCTGAAAAGGAACTCAGGTTATCCAATTGCCCATCTAAGCACTTGGCTCAGTCGATTTGAAAGGTTGAATGGAGCAATACCCTTGAATGCAGTTTTTTTGGCAGGCAATAGCAATGCACTGATCTCCAACCAAGAGAGTGCATTTTAAAACTTGTCAGAATATTTGATAAAGGTCCATAGTTCTAGCCTGCCTGCAGATGAGAAAAATGGTTAAAGAAATGCTTCAATAGTAAATTAACCTTTTAATTTGCAGAAGACTGGGACAAACCAAATGGATATGCTGGTAGTACCTTGTATCCCCGTAGGTTTTGTCTTCATAGCTACTAGTCTACTACTCATGACATGGATGGCTTCTTTAAGCATGGTTGCCTGATTAGAGGTAGAAGGAACACCACGCTCTTTCGTTATGGTAGAGCTCACAAAAACTGCAGATTTTCCAAATTTATTTTCAAAATTTATCTCTGATGTTAAAAATTGCTTGTCTTCATATATTCCTGTCAGATGAGGTAAAATTGGTGTTGAGCTAAAAGAAGGAAAAAAAGAAAAGTGGGTGCTGTGTGTGAAGAATTTTGATCACCTGTTATGGTCGGGTCATCTTCTTCATTTCCATCATGCTTAGACTGCACTTGTAGCTTCTTTCTCGATCCAAAACAAGGATAGCAGCCACCACCTACCATTTTTGGGCACTGAAGTCTTCGGAGGATCATTGCCATTCACCTGCATATTGCACACAAACAATTTGAAATTACTATAAGAAGAAAAAATGCTGATGATCTTTCTTTTTTTCCCTTTCACCACCTTCAATTCCTTGTATCAAGCATTAGACTGTAAGACTAACCTTGGCTATTACTACTGGTAGCGGTTTAGCATTCTCGTCATCTTCTCAACGGCCTATCATGAACTTGTACTTTTCTTCCGTTTTGAACTCATGCTCAGTATCATCCATGTCGTCTTCATTTTCATCTCCCTCAACTCTTGGGCTTCCTTTGCACAGCCAAAAAACGACTATTAAAAGCTAAATCAGGGGAAAAATTCACTTCCACTTTTTTTTTTTTTTTTTTGCTGTGTTCTTGTAAATTATGTACTTGTAATCAATATTAAGGAGTGTTAAAAATTCACATGTTCAGATGTTAATGCCTTTGATACGCTCGTATCTGGTCTGTCACTAGGGGCAAACTTGAGTGCCTTCCCTCCTTTCATGCTCATAGCATGGCCTGCAGACAAGGAAACCGCATTCCTTGCAGGCCACAAACAAATCTCCATCCACAGAATCACCACATGTCTCACAAGTGTGTTTGGATTAAACAATGGGTTACTGTGTAATTTTGTCTTTAAATTATTCTCAAAAAAACAATGTTGTCCTTAAACTACTTACCGCAACAATATTTCCTCTAAACTAATTAAATTAGAGCAATATTGCTTCTATCATTAAAAAATAATAAACATCCATTAATTATAGTTAGTGGGACTCATTTTTTATTATCGCTATCTAGTTAACGGACATTTATCATTTTTTAACGGTAAGGATAACATTGCTTCTCTTTAATTACTTTAAAGGGAATATTGCTACGATGAGTAATTTAAGAATAATATTGTTCTTTTGAGGATAATTTAAAAGTAAAATTACACTTTAACCCTTAAAAAATTTTCATATGAGATTAGAATGAATTGAAACTTGTAAATAAAAGTTAGGATGAAAATATGTGACTCTAACATAATTAATGTTTGGATATCTTTTTGGGTTAAAGAATAACTTTGCTCCCCAAGTTTTTTTTTTTAAGTCACTATTTGTATCCTAAAATATTTAAAAGCACGATCCCATCCAACCATTTTTAAATATCAGTTTCTCTCTAATCTACCAGACTCTTGGGTCTCTCTTCCCTAATGTGTTTTAGAAGAAGGTATTCATCGAATCATGGCTTCTAGTGGTCCTTATTTGAATCTCGGTGACAATGCACTTTTGCGGGATACAGAGCTTAAAGCCTCAAAGGGCGTATGATTTAGCTTCTGCGCAAACCTTCTTTACGTATCTTGTGAGTGTTCATGTCATGTCCCTGTTGTCGGATCTGGGTTGTTGAATTTTGGTTCTGGTTTTTCTAGTTTTTCTGGATAATTTTCTTTGATTTTTTTTTTTTTCCGGATGTTTGGGTTTGAGCCATCAATTTCTGGAATGCTGTAATTACTGGGTTAATCTTTACCTCTTGGTTCTTTGTTAATGCTGTCAAAATCGTTGGTGCTTTAAGTTGCTTCAGGTTTGTTGGTTCTTCACTTCCTCCAGATGAGAAGATGAAGATTGAAACGAAGATGAGAATGATTCTTGTTTCTAAAATCTTTTTTTTTTTTTTTTGACGCATGCTTCAGATGAGAAGAAGATTGAATAATATGATATTCAATTTAGATGAGAATGAAGAAGACCAGAGAAGAAGGCTGAGCACGTGGCAATTTGTCACAATTTCTCTAGCTTACATGACATTAATGTGTGGGACTGAATCTGTTAACATATGGTTAAGTTGTATCATTTTAAAAAGTTGTCACGATAATATTATATCATTAAATATTTTAACATATTAATTCTGCCTTTCAAAAAAAAGTTGAAAGGCAAATTTGTACTTCATTTTTTTAAAATCAGTTAAATAAATTAAAATTTATTTAAATAATTTAATTTAAAAATCAGTTTAGATGAATAACAACAACAACAAAATCTAAATCTTATGATATATATTTTTGTGATTAATTTGGTTTTTTATAAAAATGCTAAACTTTGAATTAAATTTTTTTAAAAAAATATTAAATTTTGAAAATTTAGAATAAATTGATAAATCATAGAAAATTTAAATGATTATAAATTAAAAAAAGTGACGAATAAAATAGCAAAAGACTATTGATAAAATTCATGTAGTGCGAATCATAAGTTTTAAATTTATAGACGTTTTTACTAATTTGTTATTGTTGTTGTGTAGCATTAAAAAAAAAAAATCAAAACAGTAAATAATATTCCCGCCAAAATATTCTCAACGCGCGCTTGCAACGTGATACTATATCGCGTTAATCATGCTCTCAGCCACTGACACTGTTCAGATCCCTGCACCTGCGCCCGACCGAAGCTATCTCCAAAGCTCATTTAAGTTGGAAAAATTGTAATTTTAAGTTTAATTTTTTTAAAAAAATATTAATTAGTTACATATATATATATATATATATATATAAAAGAAAACACATATCCATTTTTGTTATTATGCACTTTAATTATTTTTAAAATTAAATCATTCAAACAAATTTTAATTTATTTCACTAACTTTTAAAAAAAAGTATTTAAATATAAATCACATTAAATTCATAGATTTTTCTTTTATTATTAATTTGCTAACCTCAATTCAAAAAATAAAGGTATCCTAAACATAATCACATTATAGTTACAAATTTTTTTCCCTAACATTAGTTTGTCAACCCTAGTTGATTCCTAACCTTAATTATAAATTTTTGAAAAAACATAATATTTGGTCTCTATAGTTTTATTAGAATTTTCTTTTTGTTCACATAATTTTTTTAGTTTTTTCAGTCCCTATAGAAACTAAAACTACTAAAAAATAGAAATTATAGAAATCTGAAAAATAAAAGTTACACAATCTTTTTAAAACTATGAGAATTGAATATATTGAAAAAACTGCAGGAATTAAAAATAAAACTCAATGAAATTATAAAGATCAAAGATCATACTTTTTTAATTTTTTAAATTCAAGCACACAATTATTTAACTTCAGCTTAAATGAGCATTCTCTACCAAAAAGCTCTTCTGAATCATTTTTATCTAAACAAGATTTAAGATTTTCTAATGAGCTTTCAACACCCTAACTGAAGTTTGGGTGAGGGTTTATCCAAACATGCCTAGTAGTAGTCTTGTTTGGCACCCTCCATCGCTTGATTTGTTAGAGTAGGCATGGACGGTTCAGTCATGGCAGATTTGTACTGCGACACGTGGAAGTGTGATAAAAGATACTCAATGCAAAGTAATTCGACTTTTGGCTTTTGATGGAAGTTGTGGAATTTTCCTACAGCCATTGCGGAACCACTTACTCGGAATCAAACTTGGTTTGGAATTCTGCTGGTGCCATAGTTTCAACAACGTTAAGGTTTTTAGTGACTTTGCTGTAGCGATAAACATTATCACAAGGGACCAAAACTTCAACCGTCTGTTTCAAGACATGATAGAGGAGACAAGAAGCTTATTGAGCAGGCGCTGGAATGTCCCTGTTAGTTTCATGTTTGAGATGTCAACTGTATAGCCAACTCTTCAGCTAGGAAATTTTCATAATTTAGTGAATGATTTGTACATCTATGATATTAAAAAAAAAGCCACCCTTTATTTAAATTTGTTAGGTTGTCCATGAAATTTTAAGTTAAAATGTGATTTTTTTTATTATTATTTTTATCTTCTTCCACCCGATTCCTATGCAATGATATGTGATAAAAGATTCTGTTCTGCTGCTTTTCTTGGACTTGTTTCTGAGTTAATAATATTATTAACATTTTTCCTTTAACAAAAAAACAAATAGTCTTGTTTGGTTATTTTATTCTTTACTTGCATTCGTCTTGATTAATATATTTACAATTATACCATGTCGTCTTGCTATTAGATCTGTATAGGATACTCAGTTCCACCATTCTAGGTATAAAATTTGCCATTTAATAGCAAGTCACGATTAGACCTTGTCGTCTGATTGGAGAATCATATCTAAACACAATCAATCCATAGAAGCTACGCACTCCATAATTTTCTTTACATTTTCCCGAAAAAAGTGAACTCAACTTCGAAAGATTAACAAGTTTAATGTCATCTAATTACAAGCCTTTTTTAGGTGAACTTTAACAATCACTTTGTCTAGCTTACCTATAATGATTATAGGGTGAGAGTCACATTGCATACCCAAAAATTTCGTCATTTCATTTGCAATTATCTTTGAAATTATTTTATTTCAGAAATTGCAAAGCCTTTTGTTTTTTAGGGGGAAAAAAACGGAGAACTTGCAAAGCCTTGTGTGATACAATCATGAACCCTTTTTAACTCTGAGGGAAGTCAACTTTCACGGCCATCACCAAATTAAAACTGGAACACTGGTTACTGCAAAGAGTTCATAAAAAAAAAAAAATGGATAGAGAAGTGGCCCGGAAGAGCGGAGGGGAGAGAGAGAGAGAGAGACTGGATAGACAAAAAAACCAATAAAATAGGACTCCTGAACAAACTTACAAATCGCCAACAGTGTCCCATGCATGCTGATAGAACAAACAAGAAAACCCATTTGAATCTGATGCTGTTAGTACTTCCATTCCATGCGAAAAAAAGTTCTTAAATATCGGTTTAACTGCACACCATACATGTACTCCTAAAATGCAGGGGATCCTTCTGGTACCAGGGAAAAAAAAAATGTAGGGAGACTTATTGATGTAACTTCGTTTTAATGGTTTTTCCCCCATAGATAAGAAATTAAATTTCAGTTCCTTTAGTTTAGTTATATTGCTTTCCTCTACATCAAATTATGAAGAACTGCACTGCCATAAGACAGATCCATAGTTGAAATAAACCCAGTGTGTTAGTTAATGTACAGCTCGGCCTATATAATGCAAATCCATATCTAAACTGAACGTTGATTCCTATACCGTAACTAATACTTTGTTTTACAACATCATCTAAAATATCCTTTGCCAATGTTAAAACATAGGAAGAAAAGCAAACAAGTTAACAGAGCAGTGCACAAAATTTTCTGATTTACATAGGGCACAGTGTGTGTTCTCAGCACTTTTAAACTATATGGGAATTCAGCGGGCTCAAGTCAAGAAACTATGGCTTAATAATCAAGAGAACAGAGTATACAAGACTTTTACCTAGATATATCAGATTATCTGCCACTCATGCCACCAACATAGGAGGGAGTTTCTTCGATTTGGGGAAAAAAAAAAAATCAAAAAATGAAGGGAGGAGATAGAGTAATGCTTGGACCCGATGGTGTATCAAAAAGATGAGATGACATCATGAAAGCAATACAGGGCCATTCTCAGCTGCGGTGTGGGCATTACCACGGTGGTGGTGGGGGTGGGGATGATGCTTTGTCAACTGGATGTCAGATAAATGCGTCCTTGCTTTTGCATAGGGAGCTGCCCTTGCTGCAAGAGGCATTCATGAGAACAAACTTGCATTCAAAATTAAGAAACACTGATATGGGTATATACGTATCAAATATGACAAGATGTAATACGTGAGATATGGCAATTTTAAAAATTTTGGAACACTGGCACAGATGTATGTTATATAAATTATATACATGTACATTCAATAAATTGATACATGAAAAAATAGATGATATCAAAAAATTGAGTCTTGTGTAAGTGTTTTAGATATAAAATAACTGTGAATGAGCTGCCAATCAAGTTATAAAACAAACAAAAAACAGAGTTTCTATTCAAAGCAAATGTGAATTTTCATCTCCATTCATATAGCTAAGCTTTTCTTAAAGTTCTTGAACCATTTTGGAACTCGTTAAGGTTATTTGCTTGGTTTGATCTCTTTCCATTGCTTGGAGTTCAAATTTTAAATTATGTCCAGAATTCAAAATTTTCACTTAAATTTGAATCCTTTTCTCAGTAAATTCTTTTATTCTCTCTCTCTGTTTTTTTTTTTTTTGGGGCGGGGGTTTCGCTTGTTCACCAGTAGAGGAAATTAGATGGTACTTGACATGCAAGACAACATTGATACCGTGATAAACCTTTAAATGGGGCGCCACAGTGATTTCAATAGTATGAAGACATCTATAGGGATACCAATTTGATTTGATGGTATAATGCACAAATGATGAACGTCTTACCTGCAATTTGTTTAGCTCGGAGAATATTTTGCCGCCTTTTCCACCAGCAAACTGAACAGGTAACAAGAAGTAGAAATGCAACACAAGAACCTAATCCAATGCCAACTTTAGCACCAGCAGAAAGGTGAGCTCCGCACGTGGGTAATCCAGGTATACCACACAGACCCGGATTGTCAGTGAAACTGCAGAATTCGCAAGCATTGCACACAGATTTAGCAACACTTATAACCCAGCAAAGAAAGGATAATTAGACAAATGGCACAGGCATATGATATATCCTTTAATTGCGTTCATATTCTTTTAATTTAAAGCTTCTAAACCAGACAAATAGCCTGCTTGACCTGTGGAGAAGGAAAAAGTTGCTTGTATTTAGGAAATGCACTTGTGTTGCTTTTTTTTTCTTTTTTCCTTTTTTCGGTTTTCTGGCCAAGATATGAATCTGTTTTTAAAACCAAACGCTCTATTTCCTCTCTTACTCATTTTCTATAAGAATGAAACTTCTAATGCAGGTTTCACATATACTGGGATTTAGTCTGTACATTGTGATGTGATATAAATTTAAAACTTAACTATATAGTCATGATGGATGAAATTAAATTCCCGTTCAATGAGTATTACTTGCTACAGTCTTTTAAATATGTAATTTTTTTAAATTTGATAGAAAAAGGTGTATTTTTGGCATCAACAAATACTAACTTATGCATTTTGGAGAAACCAATACACATTTTTTACAATGAACTAACTTAACTAAATTTCTTTAACTTATGTAAATTATTTATCTAGCTCCTACATTTAGGACCGGAGGGAGTCCTACGTTACAACATTTTTGGAGAACTTTATTGTAAGAAAAATCAATTTTTTAAACATGCAAATTTAAAACATGTCAGACGGGCGCTAAATCATTGAATACATACTTAAAGCTAGCTCTATGCAAAAGCCTTCCTCCAAGTGCTGCTGGAACTCTTCCAGACAGGGAGTTTCCATTAAGATTCCTGCATGAACACATCTTAATTCAGGCTGAGATGCGTAAGACATCTTAATTCAGACTTCTCAGCTTATTCATCCCTCTGGTTTTTTACAGACTGGAGAAACTTACAATCTTTTTAAAGATGTCAACTGCCCAAGGCTTTCTGGAATTGATCCATTGAAGAGGTTGTAGGACAAGTCCCTGCACAGTACATCACATCCAAAGATGACATTGCGTGGCAGCTGAAGCCAAGACAAACCAATGATGGAATAAAATAAATTGTTCATTCATCAGTATTTAGAAAGTGAAGTCTTAACTTCAAGTTCTGGTCACTGAAATGAAAATTCGACAATTTCAAACCTTAATCGTATCTTGCAAAAGATTGCATAATATGCTGGCATATCTTGTTCCTTGGGTCTTGCTATAGATCCTTTGATTTCTTATTCCAGCTAAGGGTTGATTCTCATGACAGAAATTAAGACAGGATTGGGCTAGCATTAATCCATAACCCAACTTCTATGTGGAAAAAAATAATAAGGTAAATATGTATATGGATAAGTTAAATCCACCTAAATAAATATGCAAGATCTTTTCTCTCGGTAAATTCATACATAACTAAGAGGTTGGTGACCTAAGCAAACGTGAGGAACCTATCCTCAAAACTGACTTGGAAGAAGAGAAGAACCCCGCCTCTTAAGTACTTCATTAAATAATTGTGGTTCCCCCTTGGGGGAATCCCAATTATCGACACCGATAGATGTTTTTTACCTATTTACTCGGCAAAGAGAAAAGTGAAAAAGGCAATCATATCATGAGTAATAGAAGAGTGAACATGCATCTGGATAATGTCTGTAAACCACTAATACATTTTTGCTAAAATCATGGTTTCCTTTTCTTTTCTTTAACATAATAGCAAAGGCAAAGGAGAGGAAAATATAAATCTCCTCTGTGCGTATTAACAGCAGAAAACTTTTCAAGAGGTTGTGTTCAACTCTAGCCACTTTTCAGGAGACCTTCCTCAAAGGCTCAAACGAATGACAACTGACCGTCCAGTTGAATTTTAAAAAAAAAAATTCTAGATGGCCAGAACCAATAAACATTAACTATGAGCCAGCCACACACAAACAAGTGCATGAGCCACCAATAAGATCACTGTTCTCTTTAACCCCTTCCGACTATACAACCTTGGCTACTCAATTCCAAACAATTGCTAAAGTCAGCGATCAATCTCGTTCTCTTTCCCCAGTATCCTTAAATTCTATCATTCTATACATGAAAACCCATTTAACTTTATTTTCGTTAGTCCATTGATTGCACAATTAATTGTTTCCTATTTAAGATATGACTGGGTTCATTCTGTTTCTTTCCCTTGCTCCACTCCCAATCCCCCAATATCATGGACTACCACACATGTGACTAGAAAATGTACTTTATGGTAAACATAAAGACTAGCTTGCCAATTAATTATTGTACATTTCGTAGCTACTATGGTAGCACAAGCTGTGTACAGCTTTGTTTACAAGTACTACTCTAACTATTGAGAGTTGCTTACAGAAGCTAAAAGAACTTTAGATTTTTAAAAAAAAAAAAAAACAAGAAGAATAGGTGCACTTACAGCACTTCCAAACCGGTTATTGTTCCAAGTGAGGATGGAATAGCTCCACGAATGCTGTTTTCACTCAAATTCCTACAATGCATGAGTGAACCAACTCACAAACTTGAGAATTAGGTAAAGAGCCTTTTGCTCTCTTTTTCTTAAGAAATCAGTTCAAAATAGGGAAAATCAGAAGGTCAAACAAATTATTCAATACATCAATGCATTTATATAAACAATCACAATTATCCTTTTGAATTACTGAGTAAACTGTCAAGAACTCACAAGGTACGTAGATTTTGCAGTTTGGATATGTCATTCGGCAAGAAACCCTTCAGACCTTGATTGTTAAGATCACTGTCCATCAATAGATCAAGCACAGTAAACAACCAAGACATTGATATTGAAATATTCAATAAAGCAATCAACATTTACTTTCACAGAAAAATAAACAATCATTTTCAGCCTTTATTAAACGTAGGGCAGAGTTTTCAAGTTGGCTTCACATAAAAGCAGGGCGTCTGGTAATCTAAGCAAAGGGGAGGCTCAATGTGATAATTAGTTTCTCATATCCCCAGTTGATATCAGGAAATTTAGCAAAACTTGACACTGATTCACAATCCCAAAGGAGTGAAGAAAAACATGCTTGAAAATGTAAAACATATATTGGGCTACATTACTCTAATGATCCCAAGAGTTTAATGATACTAACAAGATTAAAAAATTATAAAATTATAGACCCAATTACAAACTTTAATTGTGTGCACAAATGTATATGGGAAAAGAATTAAAGTTTCCTAAACTTTTTAAACAGAAAGTAAGCAACTTCCTTCCTTTGAAAGTTCTGATGCTGGAGATGTGGTTTGAAATTTTTGTGCAAAGAGACATGAATAGAATGAAAAAATAAAAACTACTAAAATATTTAATGAGAGGTGACATTAATTATTACCATACATTCAGAGATCAAAATCCTTTAAAGTTGGTTGTCTAAAGTTATGTAAATTTGAGATAATATTAATCATTGATTAAATCAAGTGGCATAAAATTGTCACGTAATAAAGAATTAGAGATAATCTTTTTTATGAGTTACCAATTAATATTGTATTGAAATCACTCAATCTCTCAAGCAAAGTATTGTTTCTTTTATTAGGAAGCCGATCATGAAAGTTTGTTTAATTAACACACGAGGATAGTAAAAACCTACAGTCCATCAATGACCCATTTGCCAATACTTCTATTTAATTGGCAATTCACCCCAGTCCAAGGATGCTCTTGAGGAACACACGGATCACCATTCCACCCAAACCTGGACGGAAGTACCAAAGCCATCTTCAATGTTTGTAAAGCCCTAACTAGAGGAAAAGAAAAACCATCAACTTGCTAAAGCTTGCACATATACGGTTTAAAAGAATATATATTTGGTAGAATACAAATAGATAGCAGGTGAATAAATCAAGCAATATCAGAAAGGGAAACCAATACAAAATTATACTTCGTTTCTGATAGGTGGAAGCTTTGGAAACCACGGCAGAAATCAGAAAGGGAAAGAGACCTGACAAGCATAAAACCCATCTAAAAATAGCAAGTTATAGTTCCAGTATCGCTAATACACCAGTTCCTGTTGTCCTTTACGTATAGACAATAGACACATTAAAAGGCTCACTAGTGACGTGTTAATAAAAAGAAAAACAACAGCCACAAAGTTTGCATGAATAACATAAACTCTACGTATGAATGTGAATATTATGCTATTGCTCACTTGTCATGCCTGACACATCCAAATTGCATGTGGAGATTACAAAGCCATTCATGTTTTCAGCGAATTCAACCTAATTTTCCTTGATCAATAATGAATACCACACCATTTTAACAAAAAAACAACGCATACCATTATACGATTCATTTTCAAAAGAATTGTAACCTGAAAATGTAAACTGATTTCAGGCACTTAACCTATAGCCATCCACGTGATACCTTGAAATGCAAATAAAATGTTGAGATTATTCAATTCTTAATTTAGAAAAAAATGTAAAAGCCAGATTCAGCATAAGTACCTTCCTCTGATAAAGTTTTTGATTCGGGCATAATAATCTCAAATATCTCAATGGCACTGATTATGGCATCACTATCTCCTGTTGGCTGCAAGGTTATCGTTAAAGTCCTCCCATCAATAGAAACTGTTGTATTGAGAACAAGGGTGGTATAACGATCGCCACTCATATTTATAATGTCTACATCTTTGAGGACAACATGACCATTAATCAATATGTCGAACACTCTTTGCCCTGCAGCAGTCACTGAATTATCAATCTCCGCAAAATGTAAACAAATAGAGTAGTTTCTGTTGGGATCCACGTCCATTGTATATGTTAAATCAGGCTGACTATCGGTACTAACGAGCGCAGATTGATAAAGGGATTCTGGATAGAAGTTTGGTGGAAGTGAAGCCTCTTTGATCTTAGTTTCAACAGATCTGGGTTGGTCAGAACCCTGGCCAAAAGTTTGAATGTGTTGCCAAAATCTGTCCCCTCCCCAGGGATCCCCTCCGTAATCTATGTCAAATTTTGACTGTCCATAGCCACAACTCAGTCTTTTAACTGTTCTAAGCATTATCCCTTGACCCCTTTGCGGACCAAAATAATAAGCTTTTTCATCAATTTCAAGAATCTCAATTGAAAGGATTGCTGGATCTCCATGACCAGTGCTATGAAAACAGATAGAAACAGAACCGTCAGGAAGAAAGACAAGAGCTTCTGAAAATACTTGATCGTCCTCATTGGTCCAACCTGGTTTTAAAGAATGAGTTTGAGTGCCATCAATTGAGATATCAAAGAGTGGTTCGCTGATAACACTCTGCTGTATAACAATTCCAAAGAAGATCCTGATTGAGTAGTGCCCCTTTGGCACACCATTGATGTCGTAGCAATTTTGAGGACCTTGGGACAACGGGAAATAGCGGAGAGTTTTAAGCGGAGGGGTGATATAACTTGGACGTGTTCCATTAACGGATATTCCTCCAGTATATCCAAAGTCTTTACGCCAGCGGGTCTTTGTCGGCTTTGTTTGAGAATCCTGTTGAGCTCCACAGCTTATACGCATAGCAAATGGAGCTGCAATGATTTAGAAATGTCAGAATTTTTAACCCCTTTTTGCCGGGAAGGGAGGAGGGAACTGTATTTTAAAACACTAGATTGACTAAGAAAACAGCAACCATCTAATAGAAACTGCATCTTCACGGTGAAATTGGCATTACTAAGATTATCAATAAGAAATGAAATTGCATCTCTGACGCAATGTTAAATTACTTGCAACGGTCTGTGCGATGTTTGCTAGTATCAAGTGCACGATTAACTGGCGCAGTGAACTCACTGGCAACGGTCTGACGCAATGTTTGCTAGCACAGTGCACTCGTTATCACTTGGAATGCTGTTAAAAATGGCTTTCCCGACTGAATAAATAATCTCAGGGTTGACTATTTTATTTTCAAGATGAAAGTATTCTTTCAGCCATCCAAATTCCCTAATCAAGCTAAGTTCTTGAGGTTAATTGGATGATGTTGACTATTTATTTTCACTTGTGTTTTTGTGACTTTGCCGTTTCGAATATACAATCGAGCCTTAACTTTTTCAATGGTTTAAATTTTAAAACCAAAAAAGAAAAAAAGTTGCCCTGTTCACACCTTTCCCTTTTCCAACAGGGAATTCTCAGAAGCAAGACGGAATCAAATAGGCATTGTAATTCAAAATCTAACAAAACTGATAAAACATCAAATGTCAAGAAAGCTAAGCGAAGGCGGCAATTCATTTTCCCTTCCCAATTTTCCTCGAGCTTCATCACATTCATTACTCAACCACTCAAACTTTAATCCACATGCGCAAAGCAACAGAACGTGAATTCCATTACTGAATCAAAATCAAGCGTACAAAAAAACAACACACATTGCTCACCAACTCGATCGAATTCACAATGACGAGAAATTCAAACTAAAACATTCAAGTATCCACCCGAATATACATTATAAAACCGAAGCTCACCTCGTCCTGGACGAGAGAAACACAGAGTAAAACCCAAGCAGGAGATGATCATCCATATCAGAAGATATTTCCACATCGTGCTCTGTTCTTTGACTCTCTCTCTCCCTCCCCCCTCGATCGACTCCTTCTTTACACTCAGTCTCACATCATAGCTCCATTTTCGTCTGTAAAGCGAGAACGAGAGAATATGCAGAGACGTGCCTGCACTTTAGACGAGCAACTTTCTCCTGCACACCTGGAAATTTACTAGTCTTGAAAATCTTCTTCGGTTCTGTTGACTCTTTGAAGGAGCTAAGTGAGATTATACTAACCTACAACTGAGGCTTATCACGGATGGTGGAAGCTCGATCGGACGGTAGAGGTTGCGCCGACTTGGTGGGATCTTTATATTGTAAATGGGAAGGTGCAGTAGGTACTACTAATTAGGCTGGAGTAAGTGGCCATGGACATGCACTATATTGCGTTGGCATGTGGAAGTTGCTCCCCACTTCATGATTATTAAAGTGGCATGGCATGTAATTAATTTTTTTTAAACAAGTCGAGTATTAAATATCACTGAGTATTTAAATATTGATTATTATCTTGGGATTAATCGCTTCCATTTGATTAGAGGTAAAAATAAGTTAGAGCAAGTTAGGTTTTGAACAAATGGACCTGATCCTATATGATAAATAAAATATTTAAGCTTGACTTAAAATTTGTGTAAAATTTTTTTTCACCACTCATGCCTAAATCTATTTAAAGTCTAACCTGGCTTAAAAAGCTTACTTAAAAGTAAGTCTTTTAAATAGGCTTATATTTTAGTTTTGAATTCTCAAATATAATTTGAAACTATTATAATATACAATAGATAACCTGATTTATCAACTAGAAAGAATAATAATTGAGAATACTTACCAACTACAATATAAGATAATAATAAAGTAATAATATTAAGATTAATATATAAAGTCTAATATGATTGAAAATATAACTAGAAATAAGAAAAAGAATATATTAATCAAAAATCAAATGGTGCAACTGATATGTTTGTGATATATTACATAATATATACTCCCTCTGTACAAAAATATAAAACATTTTTAATCAAATCTTACTCCCCAATAAAATAGTTATTTGTTTTCAAACTAATATTATTTTTTCATATTTATCCCTATTTAATAGAGTGTTTTACTGTAAATAAATATAAAGTGATTTATTTATTAGAGGTACTTTTGAAAAAAAAAAGATAATGATTACATCTTAAAACACTAAAAATGCCTTTCATTTTTTAATATTTAATCCCTCAAAAAATACCTTATATTTTTTAACAAAGAGTGTGTGTGTGATATAAAGTGATTTATTTATTAGAGATACTTTTAAAAAAAAGATAATAATTACATCTTGAAACACTAAAAATGCTTTTCATTTTGTGTGTGTGTGTTGAATAAGCCAGTCTATTAAATTAAATAGGCTTAATTAAAAATCTAAATCTAACATGAGTTTATTTAATAAGTAGGCTAGACTAGGCATAAAATAAGTCAAACTGTAAGCTTCTAAGCTTCTAAAAGTCTGACCTATACCCTCTTTTATATTTGACCTAACTCATTAGTGGCATGTAATTAATTTTTATAAAAATATATTTTTTTAAAATTAAGGAACTTAAATAAAATCTTATATAAAGTTAAATGATTAAAAGTATACTTTAGCCTATGTTTTTTAAACAATTATACTCTAATCATTGTAATAATTATTTTAAAATTTAAATAATATGTAAATAATTTTTATTTCTCAAATTTTGAAGATATACTCACAAATATTTTGTACATGTAATTTTGTATAAGTCATGTGCAAGGGAAATATGCTTGCTTAAATTAGTTCTTGAATTCTATTTTATCTTAATATAATCTATGAATTTTAAATTATGCAAAAGAAGAGAGAATCTTTTGATGTATTGTATTCTGATTAGTGAAAATTCATTATCAAAACCTTATACCACATAATTTAATTTTAAATTAAATTAAAATAATTTTATGTAGTTTGAAGAAGGTACTAAACTAGTTAGATAATCATTCCTACCCACTCTCAACAAATCCCTTTTAGGGGGAAAAAAAAAGTTTATAACCTGGAAAGAACGAATGAAAGAATAAGTTTATAAATTTTATGCGTAATTATATAGTTTAGTTCCAAAATTCTTCTGTTGATGAATTCATTTGCACGGAAAATTCCATTACTGTTATAAATTTTAATATTTTCTCTTTTTTTTTAAAAAAAGTTTGTACAGGAAAAAATTAAAATTCCTATTATTCATTGGTTTTGAGGACTTTCCGATAGATCACTCATTTTAGTACTATTCTTATCCAAACACCCTTAATTGCAAAGTTTTGAAAAAATCAAGTGCATTAGGATTGGCATAATTAGAGTTGGTTTTCCTTCGTTGGTTTTCCTTCGCTGAGAGAAGCCTTCTTTGTCTTCTCAGCCTTCTTTGTCCTCTGCCTCTTTACTGAGATAGAGATAAATCTGAGCCATTCAGATTTAATTCAAAAGGTTTGGATTTAATATTTTTAATTTTTAACTTATATTTTTAAAATAAAAAATATATAAAAATTATAAATTTTTTTAATAAATATATTTATCAATTTGACAGTTTAGATTTAATATGGATGATCTAGATTTAATATTAAAAATTTAAATTAACTTTTTAGATATATTCTAGAAAGTACATATATATTATGAATAGAATAATAAATTTATTAAAAAATTAGTATTAAATTTAAATCATCCATATTAAATTTAGACTGTCATATTGATAAACAAATTTTATTAAAAAATTTTAGAAATTTTTATTTTAAAAATATAAATTAAAAATATTAAATTTAAATTATTTAAATTAAATTTAAATAGCTTAAATTTGCCAGAAGTAGAGGAGGGTTTTTTTCAATAGTGGGAAGCCGATCATCCAAGCACGCTTAATGGCTTTACATTATGACAATAAGAAACGTGACCATGATGACGGACTCAACCTTGAAAGTATCACGGATGATATCATGATCTAACGGTCCAAAATGGTCTGAGACATTTGACCTTTGTACTTTTGACTTTATTTTGAGCGGGAATGGTTGCGCAATCATCGGCACGCTAAGTGCCCGAAACTGTCCTCTCATTTTTCTACCATGTGGGGTCTAGGGTAGTCGCATCCGCATCATAATTGGTTGCATAATTTAAAAAATAATAATAATTTTGTGGTTGTTGTAATTTTAAAAATACATAAAACACTTTAAATTTCAAGACAGTTATATATAATTCTTTTTATTTTTAAAAATTTAAAATTAACTTTTTTAATCTTTAATTTTATTTTTAAAATTCTCTGTTGTTAATTGTATTATTTTTTATGAGATTTAAAATGTCATTCAATTCAAAAAATATTATATTGTATAACTATTTATAATAAATTTTTTATATTTTTTGAATAGTTGAGGCATTGATAATAGCAAAAAAAAAATTATTATCACCATATAAAATTTTAAATATTTAATTTTATGTTAGTTTTTTCTATTTTTTATTATAAATGGTGAATAGTTTTATAGTATTAAAAGATATATTAATCTAATATGATAATATTTAAAATTTTAAATATTTTAATCATATGTATTACATTAATCTAATATGAAAAAATAAATAAATAATTATTTTTTAAAACAATAAAATCATGCACCATTGATAATAAAAAATATGGATAAAACTAATGTAAACATAAATTTTTAAAATTGTATACAGTAGTAATAATATTTTTTTGTTATGAATGCCTCAACTATCCAAAAAATGTAAGAAATTTAATCTAAATAGTTATACAATATAATATTTTTATTTAATATTTTTTAGTTGAATGGCATTTTAACTCTCATGAAAAAAATAACATAATTAACAATAGAAGGTTTTGAAAAATAAAATTAAAAGTTAGGAGAGTTAATTTTAAACTTTTAAAGGTGACGGGTGTTATTTGCAATTATTTCAAAATTTAGAAAAATTTTATGCATTTTAGCCTTGACTTAATTATAAGTTTATAACTCAAATTTTCAATCATGACTTGATACAATTCATTTCATGTAATTCTAATTATTTAAAATATTGATCCATATATTAAAATTAGATATTAATTAAAAATATTTGTAAATTTTAGTCTTTGTAAATATTAAAAGTTTTATTATTTTAAAATATTAGTCCATAAATTTTAAAATAATTTTAACCTTTACAATATTATTTTATAAAATATAGGAATTAAAATTTTAAATGGTTAAAATTATAGGAACTAAGTTACATTGAGTCAAAATTTAGAAGCTAAATTATAACCTATTCAAAATTATAAGTCCAAGTTATAATGTCTCAAAATTCAAAAACTAAATGACCACTAAGTAAAAACTACTATAATCAAATAATCAACTTTTCCTAATATATACACACCAACATTTCAAAAACCAGATTGGATGATGAACTGAAAAAGTTAGCAAGTCACAATTTTTATGGTTTAATTGGTTAGGTCAGTAGTTAGACCAGTAACATAATAATTAAATAAAAAGTAATATTTAAATAAAAAAAATTAGTTAAACTATCAAATCGTGTCGAATCTTGGGTTTTTCTTTAAGTATTTAATAAATGCCCAGGTGAAAGCAAGCCAACCCATGTCAATTGTTAGAACCAACCCATGTCAATTATTAGAAAGGGTCAAATGGTTGAACTAGATCTCTTTCTTCTCTAGGTGATGGTCTGACCATCCGAGCTAATCAAAGTCTAAAAACACTAATATACACACAGAGGCAAATAGGCATTACTAATTTATCTAAACATACTATATAAACACAAAATTAGATCTAACACCACTTAGACTATGAAAAATTATAGATCTAACTCTAAGATCATACTTGTTCATGTGGCCATTGACAACAGGGCTTGTACTTTTGAAGTAATAATGATAATTAAAAGTCTTTTGTCCCTTGCATAGTGAGCCCAGAAAGAGTAAGCCACCAATCTACTGGTTCGGCTTTGATGAGCACCATTATGTGATGAACATCTAGACCATTTAGATTTACAAGTTTTATTTTATATATTAAAATAAAAATTACAAAATTTTAATAAATGTACCTTATAATCAATATGTACAATGCATATTTAATAATGGTCTAACTTAATATTAAATTTTTTTATAATTTTTATAAATTGATGATCTAAATGTATTCTAGATAGTTTAATTTAAAATTTTCAACTCACAACTTTTTTCTTAATTTTTTAAGTTCCATTTTGGAGATTATCTTTATTTTTAATTTTTAATATGATATTTTCTAAAATAAAAATTTATAAAAATTCTTAAAAAATTAATATTAAATCTAAATTTTACAAAGTACATTTGAAGATTCAATTTATAAAACTAATAAAAATATTTAATATTAAATTAGACCATCCAGATCAAATTTA